CTTCTGCTTGAAACCAGGTGGAGTTGAGCTGAAGGAGGATGGAGAAGGCGGCAGCTGGGAGAGCTGTGATCCAGAGGGCCCAAGTAACCCGTCCTCCTCTTCCCCCAGAGCGAGTGCCAGCATTTCCACACCAAGGCCAAGAAGCATGCCAAGAAGCCAAAGAAGCATCATCGCAAGCACTCTGGCTCGGTGAGGTTTGGGGAGGGCAGAAGCAAGAACGGGAAGGGAGACCAAGGCCAGTGGGGTGTGTGGGTGAGACATGCTGGCCAAGGGCAGCTGGATCCTCCTGGGCTTCGAACTGAGCCACTTGGAATTTGAAGCACCTTGTCTCAAATGCAAGTCAGGCTGTTTTGAGCATTTGGAAAGTAAGCATCTTGAACCAGAAACAGCTCTGCCCTGAATGAGGCCCATTCTATTGTGAGCTTGGAACACTTCTAAAACGTTCAAAACAACACATTTCATACCCAGAAGGGGGCATTTTACACTTCAAACAAGGCATTTCATGTTTGAGAAGTTCATTTGGAAACTCTGTTTATTCCTACCCCCAAGACTTTCTCTTCCAGCCTGTTTAAAACTGTTAAGCCAGTTGGCCTCTCTGTGACAGAAAGACTCAAGGGCCTGGGGGCGCAGTAGAATGAGGGGCAGGAATCCAGAGGTGCCACCTTAGACCACAGGCGGGTTCATCTCTTGCTTGGCAAGAGTAGGTAGGTTTGATCAGGGTTTGCTAAACATCTCCGCAGCTTTTAATTAAGGCATCTCAGCTGGGGGCTAACAAAAGTTGGAGGGAATTAGCTTGGGAAAAGCTGTCCTGATGAGAAGGTTGCCTGGTGTGGTGATCTTCTGTGCAAGCTGGCAGTTGTTGTAAAGGATGAATAATGATCCGTTGGTCCGGGACCTGGGTTTGTGCAGTCTTCTAGCACAAAACGGCAGCAGCTTGGCCTGACCCTTTCCCACTCCCTTCCCTCCTGGATATCCTTGATCTTGACTTATGCTTATTTCTTCTTCCGGTGGCTCTGTCCATTCTTCCTCTGGCAGTGGCGGTCTGGTGAGTCCCCCTTTTTCTCCTACAGGGCTCAGAGTCGGGCTCAGACCATCCCCACCGAGCAGCCAAGCGCAAGAAACGAAACCATTCAGAATCAGCAGGTTCAGGGGCCTCATCTTCACCTGACTCAGGTAAGACGTGGGAGGGGTGTGAAGCCAGCCAGCCACTCCACAGGAAGTGAGTCCTTGTGGGGAACCAGGCGGGCAGGCTGTGTTTTGAAGTACAGTGGTACCTCAGTTCACGAACTTAATTCGTCCCATGATTCTGGTCGTGAACCAAATCAAATTTCCCCATAAGGTTCAGTGTAAATACGGTTAATCTGTTCTGAACCATATGTATTTTTTTTAAAACCACAAAAATATGAAGCAAAGTACAGTACAGAAAAGTATGAAGAGAGAGGACACTAACCTTGCTTGAGGCGACACAAAAAAGCTTCACAGCCAGTGTCTGTCTGCGACCGCGATCTCGCCTAGAGGAAGCCACGACCACGTGTCAGAGCAGGGAAGATGGCCGTGGGTCGTGTTCGTCACCCAATGCGGAGTTCGTGAACAGAAGCAAAGTTTTGCGAACACTGCTGTTCGCGAACCAAATTGTTTGTGAACAGAAGCGTTTGTGAATCGAGGTATTACTGTATCTGGAAAAAATGGGAAATCTACAACTGGAAAACAAGCCCATAGGCATCAGCTTGTCTAGGACAGGCGACAAGATTGCTGCCAGCGGTTGCCCTTTCTGTTTTTAAAAAATACATTTTTCAGCCTCCAAGGGCCACAGCAGATGCTGTGGATGTAGAGAAAGTTCAGGGAGGTGAATTTGGGGATTCTTTTTCACATTTTACACAGCAGTCTTACAAGAGGTTAAGACACGAATGGGCACATCAGGCATAGAGAAGCCTTCTGTGGCTCCTGCTGCTTTAGTCCAAATGGGGACAGCAGCGTTGTGTGGTCAGACTGCAGGCTCCGCCGTTTCGGGGACTTCTGTACAATGTCAGGATGGTGTTCGAAAGGGGCGGGGCCGGCAGCACGTTATTTTCATCAAGCTCTCCCATTTGACACCCCACCCCCAGACAACGCTGCTGGTGTCCTCACATACCTATTTTAACCTTTTAAAAACTGGTAAGAAACGATGGGCTGACGTTCTTTTCACCAAGACAAGTTTCAGCAGGGTGTTCCTGAGAGGCTCTTGAGGCTGTAAAAATGAGGAAGCCCCCACCCCATGCGAGCTCTTCGCCCCTCATTTGGTTGGAAAAATCCACTGATAGATAGCATCTGCACAACAACCTCCCTCAATGGAGAGTCAGCTACCTTCCCAGGAAGTCTGTGAGATCCTTGGCCTGCTCCCGTGGAGTCATGGCTGGTGGTGGGCTGAGCTCGTCCTCAAAGAAGGCTGGGATAGTCCAGCTCCCTGTCCGCACACATTTTCCTGTCTTCCTGCAGAGCACAGCACCAGGCGTGCCAAGAGGCAGAAGAAGAAGAGCAAGAAGAAACGGCACAAGTCGGTGAGTGGGTGGTGGCAGCAGAAGAAAGGCAAGGAGAGCTCCAGGCGGAGGGGACAGGCTGCATAAAACCAGGCTCCTTGGGAAAACGGGGGATTTCTCCTGGCAGCTGCCTTTGCACAGGTCTCAACCCACAGAGTAGCAGGAGCAAGTCCACGCTTGGGGGTTCAAGGGAACAGCCAGGGCTGAAGGTGCCAGTGCCAACCTATGTTCTGAGGTATCATTTAAACTGATATTGCCAACTGCATTTGGCAGAGCACGGGGCTTTGCAGCCATTTTATCTCAGCGGTTCCACTGCTGGTTTACAGTCCTCAGGGCTGACCAGCCCAGTTGGGCTCATTTGTCTTTCTTGGCTATGCCAGGCTTGTGTCCCTAAATGGGTCAGTCACCCCCTCCTCCCAGTTCCCCCACCCCGCAAACCGTTTCTTTTACAGAACAGCCCTGAAAGCGAAGCTGAGCACAAGAAGGAGCCAGGCCGGCCGGAAGAGTGGGAGCGAGAGAAGGCGCCTCTGCGGCCTGAGGGAAGAGGCCACTCCCCTCCCCGGGGCACTCGGAGGGAGCGGGTGAGACTTGGGGGGAAGCAGAACCCCCAGCCCAGGAACAGCTTCTCCAAACACTTTGGGGTTGGGAATTGGAGACCCCAGAACAGATGGGCCGATTAGTGTGGAATTTGGGAGAGGTTCTGGTTCATTTTTTAACAATGACGTGTCTGTTTTAGGACCTCCATTGACAGTTTTCATGTGCTTCCACCTCAAAATGGCAGAGGACTGCCCTCTGTTTTCTGCAGTCTTGATCGGACAGGGCTCTAGGGGCCATACAAAGGGAATTGCCCACCCTGCTTTAGGACATGGAGGATGGAGAAGGGTAGGAAAGA